GGGGGGGAGCTGCCACACGGCTCCTCACCCCAGCTCACCTCTACTCTGCCCCCTCCCCAAGCATGCCGTTGCTGCTCCACTTCTCCCGCCTCCCAGGCTTGCGGCGCCAATCAGCTATTTGGCGCCACAAGCCTGGGAGGGGAGGAGAATTAGAGCAGGGGTGGTGTGCTCGGGGAGGAGGCAGAGCAGAGGTGAGCTGGGGTGGGGAGCTGCCGCATGGCTCCCTGGGGGGGGAGCTGCCGCGGGGGAGCGCCTCAGAGAGGGGGGGAGCTGCTGGGGGGGGGGGGGGCCCGGGCGGGGGGGGGGGGCGGGGAGCTGCCGCAGGGCTGGCGGGGGGCGGGCGCAAGGTGGAAGTTTTGCCTAGGGCATGAAACTTCCTTGCACCGGCCCTGAGTACATTTATAATACCACATGAGCTTGTAACAAATAGAGTCACCAACAATGAATTTACTGACATCTAAGAGGGGTTTTAAAGACTGGAAAACATCTCATTCAAAATTTTGACCAATAAACAAACAAATAAACCCCCAAATGGATGTTTTGTTTAGAAAACCACAAAGGGCTAGATTACACCTTTGTCACAAGCCCTGTATAAGTGGGCAGCACATAGTTGCACAGTCTCAGGAGCAGACTGTGTACAAGATGGGAACTTGGTGGTGCTTGCTGTGTGTGTGTGTGCGTGGAGAAGGGAAGTAATCTGTACCAGCCATATACCTGGCATAGCTGTGCTGGCTGGTGCACTGGAGCAAGTACTTCCCATCCCTGCTCCTCACACATGTAAGGGAACTCCTTACACATGTAAGGGAAGGGGACTACTGACCCTGCAATGCTGCTTTCCCACCTGCACTGCTAACGACAATTCTGGTAGCCAGCACAGGAGAGTAAGGGATGCTTTACACCCCCTTACTCTTGTGCATGGCTGCATAGCATAAGCCACAATGTAATCCAAAAGCAGCATTTATATCGAAGGGGGGCTACGTAGGGTGGAGGAGGAAGGACAGGAGGATTTCCTTGCTGTTAGGTAACAGCAATCCTTGTCAAAGATGATTTACAGCCTCTTTGAATAGAAAAACCTTTGCCCACTTGAATTCACCATATTGTACAAAATGACATGTATGTGTATGCTGTATATTCAGGGGTGAATCTTCTCCAGACATTTCCTTTCTTCCGCCTAAAAAATTATTCAGAGCCATAGAACCCCAGATCCAAATGTCCATTGAATTTGGGGGGTGTCTGAAATCCTAGCTGGTATTTCTAAATCATATTTTGAAAATGATTCCTCTCTTTATGAGGACCAAACCAAACACCTGTAGCATTTGGAATCTACATCTGAATCTGAACTATGTTGTTTGAAGTCATCTCTGCTACAAACAATGCAAAAAGATAAGTTTGTCAGGTAACCAATGTACTTATAAATCTATACATGTAAATTGCAAATGTTTAATTACAAAATAAATCAGTATATGAAAAAATAATATTGGTGTTAATTTAGGGGAATGTTATTCCTGGACTCCTCTCTCATACACTATAATTTTCCTGCTTGCAGAACACCAGAAGGCACATGTGGAATCTGAAATACCAGACTGCAGGTGGCTGAACTGAAAAAAAATAAAGCTACTTCAGAAGAGGAACTGAGCCAGTGGGGAAATGGGTGGAGAACAAGAAGAACCAGAAGCTGTGACAAAAGTAAAAAAGAACTGTGGTCTAAATAAACCTTCAGAAGTGCAGCAGGCGTATGATGTTCCCCCCAAACTCAGGGGGAGCCTTCTGGCATATGAATGCATCACCAAACATGTTGTATGAACTAGTCACCAACTTCAGAAGGGCTCATACCCTTTCCCACTTTCTTTAAAATGTTTTCCCCAAGCAATTCCAAACCCTCCCCGGATCAATTTTTGTCCTGCAGCACCCCTCTTCCACACATATATGGACTTTTTATAATCCTATGGTTTCTGATGGACATGAGCCACATTTACACTTCAGCAATTAACTGATTCAGAGTAAAGAACAATTTCTGAACAAAACAAAGATTTCTGTTACCCATCTCATCCCCATTTTGCTCAGGAAGAGCAAACCCCTGCACTGGCCCCTATGTAGATGCACAATGGAGCAAAGATGAGCAAAGACACCGCCATCTCCCCCATCTTGTTTACAAGCAGCTCAATCTGGCTCTAAGATATTAAATGAGAAGAAATCTAACACTGAGACCAGAGGATATCACTTCCCCCCCAATGCAGATACAATCATTTGGAGCTGGGCTGAAGCATCTTTTCCCAGCCTTAAAATTAATCCCTAAAGAAATAATTTTAATAGGAAATGGGCATGGTTCTTGTAGGCAAGTAATATTTCCAATTTGATAGATGAGGAAACTGAGGCAGAGATGCTAAGTGACCAGTGGTTTGGGGGCAGAAGAAGTCAGGCTCAGAGCCAGGAGGATTAATATGAAAGAGTTTCTAGGCTGGGCTCAGTCCATAAAACAATTTCTCTCTGTCTCTGTGCAGAGGATAACAGGTAGACAGCCATCACTAACTTCCCTTCAAAACTCATCTTTATGGTAGGAAAGAAACCAATATAGATTGTTGATGGCAAAACAGAAGGATTTTCCTTGGGCTGAATTACCTCCCTGTCCTCACTGGATTTGCAGTTCTGAAAAGGGCACACTAGGCATGGCTGAGTGGAAAGCGACAACAACCTATGGGATTTTCTTCTTTCTTTAGCTTTCTCCCGTCTATAGACATTAATGTCCTCCTAAGGTGAATTTACTGGTGAAAGGTCTCTTCACCAGCATGTTCTGTAACACAATTCCAGAACTAATTTCCAGTTTACTCGGAAAACTGATATGAACCTTGGACACTTTTATATTTTATTTTGGGAGAAAAAAATGAAAATAAAAGCATAATGGAGAATGGGAGAAGCAGTATTAATTATTATTATTCATATTATTATGGAACAGCTTTCAGCCTGTCTCTTTCCTGATGGCCAACATAAATGCTAAGAGACAAAAATTATTACAGCTAAAATGGTACTTAAAGGCATATTCTTGTCTCCTTTTTTATTTTAATCACATAGAACTCTGTAGCCTTTGCTGATGGCACAATACATTCTATTACACTTAGGTTGTAAAATTCTATGCTCTGCCTCAGAGAATTTATCTTTCTGCATATTATGCCACCCCATTCCCAAGTCTGGTAGACACTGGGGATAATAATCTTTAAGGATATAGTAACTACTGCAGGTCTCATGGCATTCCGCTCATTGGACATCAGACAGATAGCCTATTGTCTCATTTTGTTTCCACTCTACCCTTAGGTAGTGACAGAGATTTAAGTGGAGATACCCAAAGAAATGAATACATGCCTGGTTCATCAAAGCGCATGAGAAAAGCTGATACAGAACCGTTGTGTAGACTACAGAGTTTCTCACTGAGAAAATTAATATTTATGCAGTTGCTTGTCTGTTTGCAATTTGGCTTGACATCATAATGCCAATTTCCCTTTGAGATCTTTGTCCCCCAGCTGATTTAAAGTTCACTAGGGAAATAATCAATCTCCTACTTCAAAGGTCTTCTGGTCTCATCCAACTTTGTACAAGAGGGTTAGGAAGGGAGGGGGAGAGAGAGAGAGAGAATATTTTCCTGTCCAAATCATCTACAAACAAAAGGAAGGATCTTCCTTTGCCAGTGTTTTATGCCAGTTATTTTATGAGCCAATACAGATATTTAAATTTTGATTATAGTTTCCACTATAGAAAGAAAGGAAGAAATGCATGGATATGAGAGTTATATGAAACAGTAGGATAAAAGCAAAACCAAGAGAAACAAAGCAACGGGACATTTAAAGCTCTAACAGAGGGGTTCTCAAACTTCATTGCACTGTGACCCCTTTCTAACAAAATTTACTACAAGACTCTGGGGGAGGGGGGGAGGGAGAAATGAAGCCTGAGTCTGCCCGAGCCATGCTGCCCTGGTCACAACCAGTGTTCCCTCTAATTTTTCCCACCCATGTGCGGAATGACTTTTGTTGTGTGTCCCAATGTGGAGGTGATGTGTGACACATCACCTTCATAATGGTGCACATAACAAAATTTATGTGGTGGGGGTGGGGCCGCAGGGTTTAGAGTGTGGGAGGGGGCTCAGGGCTGGGATGCAGGGTCCACTTCCTCCATCGTCTCCACCATCTGGACCCACGTTGCTACTGGACCACAGCATCCTTTTCAGGACATGGCCCTCTGGCTGTGCCCCAGCCTGCTGTCTCCCCCCTTTCAGGGGACAGGCAGTCCTCAGTCCTTCCACTTGCCTCAGTGGCCAACTGCAGTCTCTAGTCTAGCCCCTGGCTTCAGGGGCAAACTGCAGTCTGGATTTAGGCCATTCTCCTCATAGACAAGTAGGGGTAAATGTGGGGGAACCCAGACCCACTCGCTACCCTGGGTCGTGGCCCAGGGACCCAATCTCTGGCAGCCACTTACTGCCCCTCCTCCTATTCCCGGCTGCCTACTTTCCCTGGGCCACTTCCCCCATAGCCCTAGCATCTTCCACGCCCTTGCTTCAGGGCCTCAGTCT